AATATAAACATATCCATGTGTACAGACTCGTGCTCTCGAAAGACGGTGATTATGTAATACGACTTCGAACTCGTTCGGACACGTACATGGAGAGATTTTACACACGTAGCCTGAGTATCAGGCTCTCTCGAAGGGGTTTAGGGCGGAGCGAGAAAGGAGAGAGAGCCTGACACAATCTTCTATCAAGAGCCGTTCCGCCTCCTTGCAATGCGTGACGCGTGACAATAAATTTAAGCCAATTAAAAGATGTTCCGGTTTGCTTGATTTCTCGATGTGGCGGTTATATGTCAAAATTTATTTGAAAAGTCGCAGCTTTTATGCCGATTTTTACCAGATTTTCAACTTGTGGACGTCTAATAAACTCTAGAGGATTGATCACTATAATCTTGAATTGTTTTACGCCGTTATATAGGTCGGTGTAATGTTAGTGTTATATGAGACGTTTCCGTTAATCGGTTTGTTTTTGTACGCGTAAAAACAAACCGATTCAAGAACGGCTTGATAATGTAGTAAAAAAAAAGAATAAAAGACAAGCCTCTGCAACCAGGTTACTATTAAAGCTTTCCCAAACTGTTATTCACTTATATCAAGAGTCATAGCGTCGTTCGGTAACATAATAATTATATATATTTTAATTCCTGTCACTTCCTTTGTCCTCTAGACCAATCAGCTTTTCGGCCATGAAACGGCCGCCGAACACGGCTCTYGATAGAAGATTGTGTCAGGCTCTCTCTCCTTTCTCGCTCCGCCCCAAACCCCTTCGAGAGAGCCTGATACTCAGGCTATTACACACGTGAGTGGAATTTCTTGTCGTCAAGAAACCAAGACAAATTGCTCGCTAGCTTTGTGCAACTGTCGGAAAATTGGCTTTAGTATTCTAACTGGAAGAATGAAGTGATCAAATGTTTACTTTGGGTAGCGGCTATCTTGGGAGCCCTATGGACAGAATCTGACCGTGAGGGGCTTGGTTCAGGTGCGACATGGAAAAAAAAACACAGCAACTGCATTTTATGACCGTGACGCAGGCCTTCAGCCTGGTCACGGTAAAAAGTTAATAAAGCGTCACGTTGTAACCAAATCATGCCTAGTTATATATCTGACCTTAAAATTATACTGCAGAATCACAAATGCGCAGCTGAAAGAGCCACCACATATAACCTTATCGCAAAAATCACATATATCTTGGCAAGCCTCGAAGGATCAAATTGTTTTTTTATTTTGTACAATGACGTCGCAACATCATGTAGAGTCATAACACTTGCACCGTGAAATATGATCAAAATAAACAGTAAATRTTAGWSKCTATTTATTGAMTWATAGTAGRTATTACTGAACCAGAACACAGTTCATGAAAACAAAAGGCAATACACAAGAGACTTGACAACTGCCATCTTTATTTCATTTACAATCAAGACAAAAGCCACATCTAGATCTAAAATAACCACACAATACACTAGGGAKCGCGTTTAACGAATCTTTATTTATTTGCGCTGCCGTAAAATCAATACAAAAGACATATCTAAAGCTAAAATAGCCACACAATACGAACAAGGGGCCGTTTTGCATGAGCATGCGCGCAACCGCTGCGTTATAACGAYCAYGGGCTCTAGAATACGGGTAGAATRRCATTGTAGTAGCTGCGGAAGCTTCGATTCTGAACATAAATGATGTTTTTACTTATCTTCCACATTTTTCCAAACAAAACCAAGTAGATATATTCACAATGCACATGAATATCTTTCAAACTTTATATAAATTACTGTGAGTCCCGGGCTAGATTTATAACACGAAGCCACTTTGTACCGTTAAAATGTAGTGAATTATTTGGGCACACCTTTAGCAATAATAAATTCCTAAGATGTGAATCGATTGCACTGCAATAGTTTATTTCATAACTTATAATGATACAGCTATAAAACTACACATAGATATTTATGATAACTTGATTCAAACAAGCTCAACTCTTCAGCCAAAAGAATGCTAAATTTGTCGTGAGTGCTCAACAGCACGTAAGAATTTGCAGAATTAACACCGTTCCACATTTTTCATAGACAAGAAAACATTATCAAACCATTTGCAAAGCATAAGTCTTGATATTGGAAGCCTTATTCTAATGAGTCCTGGTGGTATATAAAAGGAAAGTAGTATTTCATGTAACAGTTAATAATATTTAAGCGTAAATATTGTACACTTCAAGAAACTGTCTTTCGAACATTTCGAGGTCGATGTTACTAAACAACGCNCGTCCTCCTTCATCATCGTTTGCCATCTTCAAGGATGAATTTTCCTCAATGTTGGAGTCGTTAGTTGTTTCTCCTGGTAAATTGCTGATTTGTGGTGATTTCAATATCCATGTCAATGACTCTAATGACTACTCTGGGATCAAGTTTTTAGAATTAATTGATTGTTTTTCACTGCGGTGTATTGATACCACAAAACCAACTCATAAGAAGGGTCATACTCTCGATCTTTTAATTACAAGAGCTGAAGAAGACTTGGTTCGTAATTTCTTTGTACATGAGCCTGTTTTATCTGATCATTTTGCTGTTCACTGTCTATTGTCTATTGTCAAACCTGTCAAAAAACCACGATTTGTCACTTATCGCAAACTTCGTTCAATTGACTTAGATGTTTTTCGTCAAGATATTACTGAGTCACTGCTATGTAAATCGCCTGCTACTGATGTGTCTGATCTATGCCGTCAATATGACTCTGTTCTTTCTACACTTCTTGATAAACATGCTCCTGCTCGAACAAAACTTGCTTCTTTTCGAAGAAGTGCACCATGGTATAATGATCATATCCGCGAAGGAAAATTAAAGAGACGTCAACTTGAAAGACGCTGGCGTAAAACAAAATTAACAGTTGACCGTGATCTTTATGTCAATCAATGTAATTTAGTTAAAAATCTAATTTTCACCACAAAAATGACCTACTACTCCAAGATAATTGATGAATCTGGTTCTGACAATAAAGTTCTGTTCTCTACTGTTGATAAACTTCTTYATCGCTCTGCAGAATGCAAACAACCATCTTCTCCGTCACCCTCTGAACTTGCAGATACATTTGTAAACTTCTTCAACGACAAGATTGTGAAAATTAGAAAKGATTTATCTTCTCGTGTGATGTCCTGTGACTCTGAYGTTTTTACTAATTTTGATGAGCCATCAATTAACTGTACATTTTCCTCGTTTGAACCTGTTACTACTAAAGATTTATCTGCCATGTGTAAAAACCTTTTTCCAAAGTCCTGCAGCCTCGATCCCGTTCCTGCTTTTTTATTGCGTCAGAATCTTGGTTTGTTGTTGCCTGTCATTTGTAACATTGTAAATAAGTCGTTGTCATCTAGTTCTGTTCCACCGTGCTTGAAAACTGCTGTTCTACGAAGCCTGTTAAAGAAGCCATCCTTAAATAAAGAAATTCTAGCAAATTACCGTCCAATTTCAAATTTAAAAATGGTCTCCAAGGTAATAGAGAAGGTTGTTGCAGTTCAACTAAACAACTACCTCTCAGCCAACTCACTTCATGAACCTTTTCAATCTGGATATAAGCGACATCATAGCTGTGAAACTGCCCTTCTACGTGTTTGTAATGATATTCTTCTCTTCCTTGATAATCGAAATTGCGTCGCCATGTTACTGCTTGATTTGTCTGCTGCTTTTGACACTGTCGATCATACTATACTTCTCCGGCGTCTTCGCACAAAATTTGGTATTGGTGGTTCTGTTCTAAACTGGTTCAAATCGTATCTATCTGATCGTACTCAATTTGTCTCTGTTGATGGTGTCAAGTCCCATTCTCTCCCTCTTAGTTGTNCAAGAAATTTTATTAATCATTTCGGAAATGTGTTTGTGAGATACGTACCTTTTGAGCATGGGGCATTAGTTACCAAATCATTATTTCAAGCAGCACTCGTAACAGTTATAAAGTTAGTTACTATAGCTATCTATTTCACTTTCACCCTATAATCAACAATATAGGGCAATTCTTTTTATGGCCTTTCAATAAACTCGAGTTCCATGAAGGATGAAGACTATATTTAACACAAGMTCTAGCCTTCCCGACATCTTTCCTCTGGGTTTAACAAAGAACAAAACTAGCTCTTTATTTCTTTCCTTGTGGGTGGGACATTTTTTAACAAATTCCTCCTTCTTCATTAGGTAGCTTTTAATAAAGTTGTTTGGCTTCCAAGTCTCTYGTGTATWACCTTTTGTTTTTAAGAATTGTTTTGGTTCAGTGATATCTACTGTTGGAAACAAATAGTCAGTAAATAAAAACTAATAGTTACTACTTCTTTGATTTTTTTTCACGGTGCAAGTGTGATGACTCTAGTAGTACATCAAAGGGTACGTGTCAACCCTGCATACAGGGTCTAGTTGTCTATTTGAATATCACATTTGGATAATCAGATTTCACTACAATCTAACGACATGTTATAATCCACAATATCAAGAAGAAAAGAACGGTACCTCGTGTGGAATATTTAGTTAGCACCCGATGTGCATGACGTTACAAGTGACGTAACCATTTTTTGACAGCGAAAACAAAGAAATCCATTGTTTAAGCAGTGAAAGCAATGCATTGTGGGTGGATAACATCAAGATCAGCTTTGACCTTTCCTTATGTTTGTGTGATGAGGAAAACATGTCAATGTCTCCATATTTTCTGACTTAAGTTTGCTGCCTTGCGTCGCGCGCTTCAGACCCGCTATGCTGCGTTTTTCTTTTTAATTTTCTGCTTTCTTCCCATCGCATACATTCAGATTTTCTGTGAAGAAATGTCGAATGTTAATTGTCGAACGGCGATTGCACGACCAAACGGAGTCATGGGATTTGGCATTTTTTAATTTAATGGAAATAACAACTGATTTATACTGTACAAAAGTCTGTTGTAAATATTTCGCGTTTTGAAATATGTGCATATTTTGATAAACAATGGGGATCCCTCTAATGGCCGTACCATGCCCTCTGTTTTTTGAAGACTGTATTAGTGTGCTTTTGATCATCATTCCAAGATTTTTGGCGAAATTAAAACTGATAAACAATTGTGAAAATCAGTCATGTATGGCTAATAAGCCCAAATTCCTAAGTTAAGTCAGAAATGCATGACACCTGCAGACTTCAATTCTTAATCAGTTTCAGTTAAAAATCTTTGATGGTCGAAAAGCTCACTAAATAAAAACACAAGAAAAAACATTCCTCATCTGAATATATGATGGTTAACCGTTGTATTTCCGTTTCTTTATATTCAAGAGCTTGCAAAAATAAAGCAATAATTTAAGCAGCTATATATTAATCAAGAAAGCCACAATGGCGGCAATCAATACAACTAAAATCACAAACAAAGCCAAAAGCTCGTTTAACATTCGTTTCGCAACTTCTGAGGAATTAAACAAAATAGGAATTAATTGATCTTTCACATTCAAGCGAGGAAACGACACATCCGGGACAGGAACGCCAAGAAACTCACACAGCGGCTCCCAACCTTGCTTGACGTTGTAGACCAGCAGCCTATCCGGCGGGATTGTAGCCTTCACCCTCGCGTTATGTTCAAGGTAAATTTCAGCAAATCCTTCTTTATTTTCAACGCCATGCATTCTTCTGGTAACAAGTTCCATAAACGTTTTACGTTTGCGGCCGGTTGGAGTCAATACACTTCCAAGTATGTTTTTAAGAGAACTCATTTCTCTTCTAAGTACCGCAAACGAAGAGAGCAATGACTTGACCCATATTTCTGCAGARTCTCGCTCCATAAGCACCACCTTTGCATCAGGGAAAGCTTGACTTAGCTCCTTCCAGAACTTACACGCTGGAGTGTCAGTCACG